TACGACGATAATCATTGTAGAGATAATCATTGTTTAGATTTTCTACTTCGCTACTACATTGATTTATTATAGCTGATCATGACTTCTAAACAATGATTATCTAACTGAATTGTTTAGATAGCGAAGTAGATAATCACACACACAATATGATGACATGGCTTCTAAATATCAGAAATAAAAACCTATGATATCCTGCTTTATTTTTGTATATAATAAATCATTGTTTAGATTTTCTACCATTGTATTTTTTTCATTGTTTAGATTGTCCACCAAATCAAAACGAAAATGCAAAGAAAATCACAAATTAAAGTGAAGAAGACCAACATTCAATTGTTTTTATTTTTTTTAGTGGACAAGAAGAAGTAGACGACGAAAGTGAAGAAAGAACAAAAACTAGAAAATGAAGAAGCTAAAAAAAAGGTGAATACGAAGACAAATAAAATGAAATACCATAAGAAGAAGAAAGAAAAAAAATAGATAAAAAAAGATTATGAAAAAAAAGAAAATGAAGAAAAAATAAAAAGAAGAAAAATCAGAAAATGAAGAATAAAAATTGTATAAAAAACTAAAATTTTGGAAAAAGAAGATGAAGAAAATCGAAAAAAAATACAAAGTTAAAATAAACTTGAAAAACAATGAGTAGAGGAAGATGGTTAAGAAAAAAAAAGAGAATAATAAATATTGGAATAAGAATAATGACAAAATAAAGACGAAAATGACTCCAAATGAAAAAGTCGGAGAAAAACAAAAAAATCCCAAAAAAATATAGTGATTTCGGCCGCAAGTAATAACCCTTCAAAATAATAAGAAGAATGATAAAAAAAAACTAAAGAAGAGTGCAATAATACAAAGACAGACTAACAAAGATATAAAAAGATTCAAATAATACAAAGACGGTGAAAGAGAAGATAAGAGGAAGAAGAGAAATAAATGGGAAGAAGAAGACAAGAAAAAGTGAAAAGACAAAAAAGATTAAAAAAATAAAAATTAAAAATAAAAATAAGAAAATAAAATAGACGAAACAGAAAGAAATAACAAAAAAACCGAAAGAAATAACAAAGACGAAGTCGGAGTAAAATGAAAAAATCTAGCGATTTTAGACGCAAGTAACAATCTTAGAAAAAACAAGAGAATGAGTAGAAGAACAAGAAAGAAGAATAATAAAGAAGAAAACAGAGAAGCACGAAGACAAATAAAAACCGGAAGAAGAAGACGAAAAATAAGAAGTGACAAAGAAAACGATGAAAAGAAAAATGAAATATTAAAAGATGAAAATATAGAAACCGAGAAGAATAAATAAAATAAATGTAGAAAACAAACAAAATATAGATAATATTACCTCACACATATCAATTAAATGCATGCATCAAAATGAGAAACAAAAATGTTTATTTACTCTTTATAAATGATAAAACCGGATTGTTAAATATAAATTAACCTATTTTCATAAACAAAATTCATACCCGCACACGGTGCGCATCAATCACCTAGTTTCAAATAAATAGAGTAGTGAAGTAGTAAAAACTAAATTAGTTCAAACATGAATAGAATAAAAAAACTAATTTTTTATAATCCGTAAAATAATAAAACCTGAAGTAGTAAAACCTA